AGGAAGGAAGGAAGGAAGGAAGGAAGGAAGGAAGGAAGGAAGGAAGGAAGGAAGGAAGGAAAATGGACTTGATGATAGTCAACCTGATGCTATTAGTAACCACTCAGTATTGCCCTCAGGCTCTGCCCTTTCACAGAACTGGGGTTTCCTTCAAGATAAGCTCTACTGCACCTTGTCTTATTAGGATTTGTCATAGTGGTAGCTGCTTCCATGCTTTTGAGGTGTGTGTGTGCGTGGTGCTCTGATTTTTCTACTGTGCAGTTCTCACTGGAGCAAACTGAGAAAGGAACCTGGTTATATACAGTCTTGTGTGGTTGTCCTCTGAATCCAGCTATTGCATGCCTTTGGGAAAGTCTCCATTAGATCCCAAGGTATGAATAAGCTCTTTCAAATCATGCCCTGTCATTCAAAAAATATAACTCATTCAAGGCTCCTTGAAAACTTCTGCAATCGGGGCCCATCAAAACAAAGAGATATATTTGAGTTGTGTGGGTGTGATTGATTTACCTCCTTTTGACGGTATCATTCTCTCAGATGTGCATTGTAGACTTGACCAAAAGCCTGTCAAAGAGAGAGGAAAATTTTATTTGACCTCAATGGGCTTTGTAACAGGCACAAAGGATCATGTCTTGTAAATGACTTTTGGACAAGACCCTTTGTTCATTTCTGGAGAGATTTCTGGTTTAAAATTGATGTTGCACGATAGGAACATGTTCTGTAAACATTTGTGTGTGGTAGTAAGCGATGGTAACATTTAAAATGCGAAAAATTACATAAGAAGAGACAGGAAGAATGTTTGCAATAAACAGCTTGAAGAATAATGGTTTATTGTTACAGGAAATTGGACTGGCATCTCTGGGAGCTCCGGATGATTTCATCGAGAAACTTGCTACGGTAATTTAATAAATGAAGGCTCAGTTTTCCAAAGCACCCTGTGTTGTCTTAATTCTGCTGCCACTGAAGTCACTGATAGAACTCCCATAGAGTTGAATGGGAACAGACTGAAGTTCATGGTTGGAAAACCCCACCCTGAAACAGTTGCATTAAAGGAAAATAGCTTTGGCACCCTTTATTCAAAGTGACAGTTGTGATTAAACACAGAAGCCCAGACAAGATTTCCTCCAGCACAAACATATTGAGCAAGAAGAGATTACATGTTACTACATCCCCACAGGAAATTTCAGGAAGCAGCTTCAGTAGCTGTTCTACCTGCAAGTGTCTCTTCTCTTCCACCCTGCCAGGCAGATAATGTCCTCTGCAGTTCATGTGGCTCACCTGAATCCTACTCTGGGACTTCTGAGTTGCAAACTTCAAACAAAAACTATGATATTAGTGTTCCGAGCATCAACTCACCTGGGCAAAGCATTGCACTGTCTTTGCTGCTTCTGATAGATGAGGTAGTTCTTTGAGCCAGAGCAGCAGTCCCTTCAGAATTACAGACCAAGAAATCAAGTTAGGCCACGCACCTTCAATATTGCACTGTGTGAAACAGGACACAAACTTCTATCAACTAAGGTTCAAACTTCGACTGGGTTGTCCAGCCAAAATGACATTTTATTGCTATAGTTTCATTGTCTCTGCTCTGCTGACGAATGTAAGCACAGTAAAACACAACTGTGCTTGCCAGGGAACTGAACTGATTTGCAGGCACACAAAGTCTAGCACTGTGCCCCTCCAGGAGAAGAATTTCAGTCTGTGAGGGCATTTATTGTATTGATGCAGTTAATATTTGACACATGGCAACATTTTAAATAGAAATGTAAACTTCAAACGTATCCAAATCAATAATGTGCACCTACTCTTTTTGCTCAAGGAATCATATGCTTCTGTCTACTTTTCTTGCTAGGTGTATTGGTTTACAGTGGAGTTTGGACTATGTAAGGAAGGCGATTCACTCAAGGCATATGGTGCAGGGCTGCTGTCTTCATTTGGGGAGCTGCAGGTGTGTCCTATAAAACAACATTTCACAGATGTTTATAATAGTTCAAATTTATCTTCTGAATGTCTTCAGATCCTTATTTTGCTTCGTACTTTGTTCATAGAAGTAGCATGAAATGTCATACTTCATTGAGGAGCTCTAATAAATGTGTCAGTGTATACACACACAGGGGACTCATACCTCCTCTTTCTGAGTAAGTGACATTGTCATTGTATTCCACAGGAGCAATTCTTTGCTGTCTGAAACTGGGTTGCATTCAGTAGCTTTATATTTCTTTCACAGAAAATTCAAGCACTTTTTAACTGAAATAAATTTCTTATACTTTTTGCTCATAGTATTGTTTATCAAGTAAGCCCGAGATTCAGCCTCTTGTCCTGGAGAAGACTGCTGTGCAGAAGTACCCTGTTACTGAGTTCCAGCCTGTTTATTATGTTGCTGAAAGTTTTAAAGATGCAAAACAAAAGCTAAGGTAATCCAGTAATTTCACAGAAGACCCAATTTCTTGTCCATTGCCAATACAATGGATCTCATTGCCACAAGAAGTCTTGGGTTGATTGTAATGTTTTGAGAAGCAGTAGGAAAAATTGTGCAATGCTTACAGAGACTAAGTAGTTGTTACATTTAAAATCTCGTGATGGTCAATAAGGGGAACATATCTTATACATGAAGCCAAGAATTTGTGATTAGTCTTATTAAGTGTTTCATCTGTACAACCAAAATGCAACAAAAAGATAATTATTAGTCCAAATGCAATGATACTAACACTAGGGTCAAAGCTAGCTAACTAAGGCAAACCAAGTCTCTTGTTTTAACTATAGTTAAAAATTCTTGTACAGAAAAATCTCATAGTATCTACTCCTTTTCCTTTATGCTCACCCTTACAGATTCTTTTGTGTCTTAAACCAACAGTTTCAGTCTGGTGGTGGGGAGTGCAGTTGTCAAGTAATCTTCATCTTGAGGTCTTCAGAGTAGGGCTGTGATGTAAATGAAGGGAGTTTCTTTCTCTTTTGTGAGGAGGTGGATGGTGGTGATGTTTTCTTTCTTCTGCCTAAGGTCAAGGTTTCCTCGGGGCCATTTTTATGTTTCCTAACATGTTTTACATCTTGCTCTTCCTACATTGGTCTGAAAATCTGTGTTACTTCTGACTTTACTATTTGTGTTAAATATCTTTGTCACTTTTGTTTCCTCTAAAACTCTTAGTTTTTCCCAGCTCCTAAGTTTGCTTTACCGTGAATCATTGATCAGCGGGGAGATGTTGATAGCCCAAGGACCACCAACATCATCCTATGCTCATGCCTTTAAGACTTCTGTTATCAGTCCATGCTGTTACTCCTTTATGCTGCATTACTTTAGGGTCAGACTTAGTTCACTATGTACAGTGTTACTACTTTTCCTGCCTATATAAAAATTATTAATGACAGGCATTATAGCACACAATTATTCAGAATTAAGCAAAGCTAAAACAAATTAGGTAATAGTTACATGGTCATTATACAATTATTATTTCAGCTAAACAAAACTCCAAGCAAGCCTAATAACCCCAATCCTGAGGCCTGTGTGGTTAGCTTAATACAGAGCCTCCAGCTTGTTACCAGCAGTGTGTTTACAAGACTACAGGGGTACACAGTAAATCTTTCAGTCATCTGTGACTCAAATACAGATTCAGTTCCAGTTCAACAAGACTTTGAAATAATGGTCCAAATTCAGTTCTGGTTCTTGAAACAGGAATGGCTCAGACTGTGTTTGGGGTTCAGCTTGGGTTCCACCTCACAGCAATAGTTCAATTTCTGTTTAAAAAAACCCAACACCATATTTCTGGACGTTAGCCAAGCCACTGGGGGTTAGCCTTGGTTCACACTCAACAAATTTTTCATTTAGAGATGCCACACAGGGACTTGTCTCAAACCTGCAGTCTCTTCTCTCTCTCCGATTCACAGATAAACACATACTGACACCAAGATATGCTGCAGTCCCAGGCTCCTCAGCTCCAAGGTCTTCCTAGCTACCTCTGCTGCTTCCTCAGTCATCATAAGCCTGCAGTATCTCCTTCTGACCTTTTCTCTGGGCTAATACCTGAGAAAGATGGCCTTCTCTTCTGGTTTGTGTTACTAATATCCTGCACATAGTTTCTATCTTCTCTGTATACTTCTCTAACTGAGCAGAAAGTTCCTTGAGAAAGTGGAAGATACTGTCTTACTCTATACAAACTATGTTGGAGCTTCTTTTATTTTTTTCAATGACCAAATTGGAAAAGTGGTTAAAATGAAATAGCTGGGGTTGGTCCAGTGCCTGTGTTCGTGGCTTGCACCTGGACATGTGTATGTGTGTGTACTAGAAAATCTCCCTTAAAAATTATTCTGAGGTTGACCTAAAATATTTCAGCTTAAGGGATTCATGTCCTAAGATCTTATCTTCAGCTGAGATTTAGGAAGACTGTCTTCTAATGTGGACCTCTCCTCTTACCAAAACTGGACTGATGTCACTAAGGACTTTCATCATAGCCAACATAATTCTTTTCCACTGTCCCATGTTGTGGCCTGCTCACACTGAACTTGGTTTGAGACAATGGCCTTAGCTGATAATAATTAGGACTAAACTGAAGGAGCAATGTGGAGGTGGCATCCAGCATATTCCACTGTTCTGGGCATATGGGATTTACCATGCGGAATCATAGTCTGTATAGCGGGGCTCCATAATCAACTCCTGCGTGCTTCCCTTCCTTTTTCAGCAATAACTTCAGTAATCCAAAGCAGATATATAAACCAATATCCTGCTGGGGTCTACAAGGAGCCTGGAACAATAGCTCTGACCATCTCATCCCATTCAGAGTCTTCCTTTCCACAGTTCTGTGGTTATGCAAATTGATGTTTTCCCAAGATACCGAAACCTTAATGCTTCTGCCACAGGATTAACTATTTTGCAGAAGGGAAGGCTACAAATAAGGGGTGGCAAGAATGCTGCTTCACTCTACTGACTATCTCCTATCTTTGCAGTGATCTAAAAGCCACTACCAACCAGGCCAGAAGTTAACACTCTGCTTGCTCCTTGGTATGCCAGGGTGGCATATGTACTTGACTTTATTTTTTATAAATTGCAGACTTGGATCAGAACTCCTATATTTTGCATTATTGAAAGGAAAATGAGGTTTTGAAGTTTGGCAAATCCCAACAGCTACATAGTTGGCCTATACCAGGAGGAGTGTTGCCATGCCAATAGCATAATTAGTCCTGTTCAGAAAAAAACAAAGGTGGTAAGGACAAATACAGCTTCAAGCATGTTACAGAATGCTGTAGGTCTCAGATTACTTGGCAGGAATTTCAGTTATTTCCTCTTGTAGATTCTCTTATTCCCCTCACCAACAAATGCACACACTAAGAAAAGAGTGAGTTACTGAAAAAGGATCTTTTCAACTTTTTATGTGTTTTTGTATTTTTGCCTCAGGAAATTTGCTCAAACGATCCCTCGTCCTTTCTCTGTTCGGTACAACCCCTACACCCAGAGGATTGAAGTCTTGGACAATGTAAAGCAGCTGAAGAACTTAGCTGACACTATCAATAGTAAGGAACTACAGATTTGTTACCTTGAATTCCTTAAAACTTGGATCAGAAATAGCAACCACAAAGCAGATTTCATCTGGTTGCATTTAATGCTCTGAGCCTGACAAAGAAAGCAGCACACATCTCCTTTCTGGTGCAAAACCTGCTTCTTAATTCTAGCCAAGTTTGAAAATAGTATTTCTACTTGACTGTAGTTTGTTGCATCTGAAATACCTAGTTTTAGTGGAGGTGCTAGGAAAGGCCAGAAGGCCTTGTGATAGATTCTGATGTGTGGCTCTAGCTGTTCTCAGTAAGGAAGAAAAGGAAAAGCTTGGCTTTAATTACATTTGCTTTTGCCATTCTAGACTTATTCCTGATACTTTTCCCCCTCTAACACTGGCTAGCCTGCTGAAAGCCAGTGCCCCTGATCCTGTGAGCCATCCTTGCATGGCTGATGAAGGCAAAGGGCTGACTCTGCAGATGTTACTCCAGTAAGAGCCTAATAAACGTTAACAATCCAGCACCTCTTTGCTCACCTTATTCTTTCAGGGAGTGGATATAAAGGGTGAATATATACAGGAGTGTCAGAAATGAGCTAGATGTAGAATTAACTTCTCTGATTGTTTCTTTTGCAGGTGAGATGGGGATCCTTTGCAATGCCCTCCAGAAGATAAAATGAAGATTTGCTGTAACTTGCTAATCACTGGCTACTGAATAGAAGCTGCCATGTGCAAATGCCAGTCTTCAACTAGGCTCAGTCTATTATCTTCCTGTGTACTGCATGAATGCTTATGTTATATATCTTAATTACTATAGATTAGGAGAGAAATAGACATCTTCAGGTGACCCTTGACTCTTTTGGCCTTCAGACACTAATCCATTTTCTTGCACTAATGCATAAATATGATCTTAGTTCTGGGAATCCTGGGAAAGCCTCCGTAACTCTTGTGCCCAAGGTTAGCAGAAGGAGATCTCTGCCATGCAGTGCTATACTCTGTTGCCACTGTGAAGTTGCATTACCACCCTGATCCCAGGGACAAGATAACAATGACTAACAGACTAATCCACATTGCTTCCTCTCACAGTCCCCTTGGTCCCATACATTTGTGTAAGATGCCCATGGAGTCTCAAACTCTACACCTTTCAGAGGGTATACATATACTGTTTGGCCCTCTGTACCTCTACTTTTACACACAAGCACCTCTATACTGAAATATTTCTATGTTTCCTAAAAATATGATGCTGCTATTAACAGAAAAGACAGCAAGTATACTGCAGCCTCATTAACAAAGATTGATCCCAATGTATAAATACACTGTATTTGCACAAGCACCTATCCCAAAAAGGTTTGTGCAAGTCAAGAACTCTGTATGTTGTGACATTTCACTGGGTTGCAGAGTCCCTCAGCAAGGCACTGAGACTGCTTATCCAGAGCATGGAGTCTCTGACTCAATACAGTACCCACAAAAAAGCCCCTTCAGAGGAGAGTTACCTGAAGGCGAGTCTATGTGACTTTTTGCAGTTGGATGTGAGGTCAGTTGTCAATAATTTGTGCAAGCAAGAAGCCATGCAGATGTTTTAGCAGGGCATCAAGGCCTTATTAGTCCAGTCTCAGAGCTGTGCTGTCTGTGATGTTGTGTAATGTCATAGATTCAGAGCCGATTGAGCACCTGTCAGCTTATGGAAAAGGGAGACCTCTCTTTATAGACATCTACTCACTGTGGAAGGCTGAAATGTGAAGGCTACCTTGTGTTGTGTGCATCCTTCTCTGAGAGTGCTTTATTCAGCACTGCTACAAGGTGTCTCCTAACTTTCTGGAGTCACAGTCCAGAAGGTGGATTCCAGCACCTTGGAAATGGAGAAGTGCTTCTTAAAATGCAGTTGAAGACATCAGACCCCCCACCAAAGCCATGGAAGACCTGGGTTAGCTGTGTCTCACTCCGAGTGCATTCAAACCCAAATATGATGTCTTTCAAGACAGCTCCTGAGTCATGATACTTTTTAGAGACTCCTTCTTCTCCCACTTGAACTTTAATCTCCTTTTTTTTTTTTTTTTTGGCAAGAGCGATTTTATTCTTCCTCGAGTGTAGCTCAACTGGGGCAGCAAATGGAAGCAAGGGTGATTCGAGCTTAACCCAATGGCTGAGCCACGGAGAGAGAAGAGCTTTACTGTGCAGGAAGTTATTTCTGTATTTTATCCAATAACTTTCATTCAAATCAGATAAATGCCCTTCTGGACTGGTCCACATTGTATAATGCCTCCCTGTAGCTGCCTGGTTGAAGGAAGAAGGAGATCAGCGCTTGTACATTGGAACAGAATGGAGCAAAGCAAACCAGAACACTATTTCCAGCTTGAAACAATTATGCATCATGATACTAATCTGATTCAGGAGTCACATTTCAGTTAGAAGATCCAAAGATGGAGAGGGATTTGAAAGTTCATGAGTCTCATACCTACTATTGTACTACTCTTGTATTTATAGTTTGAAAATCAGTGGAGCTTTAATGTAACATCATCCTTTAGGAAGATAGAAAGTACAGCTGTTTCCATTATATTTATGGTGGGTAATAACATTAATCTAAGGATACCAGCTGGAACCCTTTTCAATAGACATATACTTATGCAAAATGGTATCATTTTGGTGCTTTGAAGTAAGCTTTTTAATCTCTGTATCTTTTTTCTTCCTTTTTTTTCTCATGACAATGTATGTGTAGATCTTTCAATCCTGCTTGGCATGTATTTTCAGTGTGAAAGTAGCCCATATTTTTCTTTCTTAATATAATAGGACCCATAAAGCAACTGTGTAGCACAAAGAGATGATTTCATCCCAAGGGTGAAGTCTTTCAGACTAATCCTCAGACAGCTTTCCAAGCTCCTCTGCTTCTGGCCGTTGTTATGAGTGACAACAGCTGTAAATCTATAGTGATATTGAGAACCCAGGATTCATGATTGTCTTTTATGTGCAAGTGGAATGGTCAAAGAGTATTGATGCCACATGTCTTATTCTGTGTCCCTTAATGCAGGTTAAATGAGGAATAACTCCAGCCAAAGCAGCATAACATAGCGTTCAGCAAGACTGATAGATGAGACAAAGTTAAATGCTCAGTATTGTAAAAGCAGAGGGAATATACTGAAAGCAGATTTTCTTGCAGAACAAATTAGCTTGTCCATATGTGCTTTAAATAGTACAAATAAGTTGCATTTTAAATCGTACTTTTTATTTCCATGCTTAAAGAAAATTAAAGTTGTGTAGTAAAATGCTTTTTGCATTATCTGTCTAGTGTAACTCCTCTTTGTAAGGTAACCACACAGGTCAATCAGAATTAAATATCCAGCTAGGGGAGAATGCCTATTTGAGGTGTGCTCCAACTCAAAAAAAGGGTATCTTGCACTGGTTGACTACAACTCATCCAGTAATTACCTAGAAATAGAGCAAAGTTTTGATTGCCCTACCTTTGCATACTTTGTACATCTTTGTATGCTACTCTGACTAACCTATCCCAAGTTAATCTTTTAATTAATCTTCCTCTCTTCTAACCCACTATGATCACATTTCTTAATGTCCCTATTTCCAGCTCTGTTTCAGGTGATCAGAGAAGCCCTTTCATGAGGCCCTTTTCCTTTTCAGTGACCTTGGCCAAGGTCAGTGATGGTGATGGAAGGAGGGCTTCCCAGCATGGTTTACACAAGGAGGTGGTCTCCTCTAAGTGTCTTAAGATGCCTAGATCTGACAGCAGCCTTGGAGAAGGGACACTTTATTTCCCAAAGGATGCAGAAATTATTGAAAGAGTGATTAAGCACAGGGAGAACCCACAGGAATGCATTCTTTTAGAATCTGTATATTTACTGCTTCAAACCATGCTGGCAGTTGGCAGAGAAGACTTTTTTGATGTTCAAATGTAACCATTTAAGTTAACCTAAATAAACAGAAATATTAATGCCATATCCATCTCAAATGAATATCAATGTGCTCATACAGGGTGGAGATATCTGTGATGGTAACAGATCAAAAATAGGCAGGTTGTTTTGTTTGTGGTGATTAGCCACAACCTTTTAAAGCACCCATCCCTGGAAGCTGCATGAGACAGGGTTTCTACTCTTGGGGTGGGAGAGTCCCACCTTCTGCAGGGAGAAGCTGCCTGTTCCCATGTGAAAGGATGACACAATGTGCTCTGGTCCTTGGATAGGCCTTTAAACTGCAGCACTCAGCCTGAGACCTCTGCTCCTGCACTCGTAGAGGTCCTAAAAAGTGCTGAAAGCAGGAGTCTGGGATGTCTCAGCAGCCTTCCTGGGCTTGTCTCAAGCGTAGATTAAAGGTAGTATTGGAGTGTCCACTGGCCGGGCAAGGACATTTCACTACCTTGAGAACCAGGGCACTCTGTGCTGGTTCTGCAGTGGGCTGCAAAGCTGTGCTGTAAGCTCTGCCTATGCTGCTCCAACTATCACACTGGCTGGTGAGTCCAGTCTGGCTCTGTAAGAAACCTATTTATACACAGAAGCATGTACAAACATATAGAGATGGGTCTCTGCCACTAGAGTATAAAGACAGCCACAGGGCCCTGATGTCCCTGCTCTGCCAGTATTTGTGACCAGTGCCTTAACCATGCATCTTGAGCCCTCAGGCTTTCACCTACATGTCCACATGTAGCTGGACTTAGGAGACCTTGTGCCATTTGTTGTTTATGCCATGCCAGTGGCCTGGATGTGGACATGCATGCACCCACCCTTCATGGGAGAGGCCCAGTTTGGACTCAGATAGTCAGACCCAGCTCAGTTTACTCTCCTGTGCCCAGCCTTGCCGCCGCTGCTGAGGGAAGGTGGAAAGAGCTTTTCCCCCCCTTAAAGCCCACTCCTTCTCCCCCCGCCCCGTTCAGTTTTCAGCTGCGGTTCAGCTGCCTCTGACGTGCCCCCTTGCCCTCCCGGAGCCCCCTGGGCCGGGGGTGGGGCCCCGCGGAAGGCTCCGCGCCGCGGAGGGGTCCGGGTTCAGCACCGCGGACAG